ATGAAAAATCGTGCCCGCCATCTTGGATTTAGAAATGAGTGCCATATTCGTAATGAGCACCACCAAATACCTCGAAAAATGATACCCATATTGCACTTATTTCAAAAGTCGTGTCCGCCATCTTGGATTTAGAAATAAATGCCATATTCGTGATGAGCACCTCGATTACCTCGAAAACGATTCCCATATTGCATTTATTCGAAAAGACGTGTCCGTCATCTTGGATTTAGAAATGAGAAAAGTCGTGTCCGCCTTCGTGTATTCAGATATAAATGCCATTTCCATAAGGATTACCAAAAATAAATTTTTGAAAATTCCTGTCACTTGACGTTGTCGATCAACAGTAACGATCGACAAAATCGAGCAAATCTGTAGTCACCTCTAACTTAACGATGAGTTAAGCAAGATACAATTTCCCCACTTTTGAGGGAAATGTTATTCCATGGCATCATTATTTGTATATTTGTGTGCGTGCCGACGAGCGTAAATACAAGTTGCTTACGCCTACATGAATTTGATTTTTGCCTCACTTGTGACCGTTCGTTTTTTATGAACCTATCATTCTATGCGTTATTATTCTAAGGCTCGTACTCTAGAACTCTATTCAATGCTCAAGTCAGGATTGCACTGGCAACACAAGCACTGGAAATACGACCCTAATGGCAGGGACTTGAGTATGATTTGGAGTGCTTTAAACCATACTCAAATCCTGACTTGAGCATTGAGTAGAGTACTAGAATACGACCCTATGTGTAAATATTAGATATTCCAAAAACAAGTACCTACAGTGTTGTTCAAAAATATATGGTAAGTAATCATGTCACGGATTTTTTTTTCAAAGAAAAGTAAACAATCAGTGATAAATATACACTCGGTATTTTATATATTTATCCATATCATTTTCGTAAAAAATATTATAAAGCATTTGCATTTTTTAAAATTATGTTTGTGATTTTATCATTATTGTGTAACCACTTATAAAACTACAGAATTTATTCGATTTCAGTCAGAATCTACTATTGAAATTGAAACCAAGTATAATTACCCCATTTGAGTGTTGTCCGAGAATTTACAATAACCTTTTTTTTTGTATACATTTTAATGAAAATGCATTGTATAAATATTTACGAAAATGATATGGATAAATGCGATAAAATACCAAGAGTTTATATTTGCCGTAGATTGTAGTTTGTATCTTTTCTCTCAAATGAAAGCACACCTTTTTAAAAAAAACTCGTGTCTATTGACTCGTGCTTGAAAAACCGCTCATTACGCGATTGCACGAGTGGCGATGTGGCGATGCGAGTCGTGACGCGAATAGCGAATTTGACACACATGCGTGTCGAGTATCGCATCGCTATTCGCAGGAATGTGAGAACGCGTTTCAGCCACTAGACAGTTTCGACGAAACATTCGTGCATAGTGAACACGATAGTGTAAACGCGGTATAATTTGTGCTCGTGTCTAACTTCGCGCGACGAGTGGCGATGCGAGTCGCGACAAGTATAACGAGCTGACCATTTGCAGATGCATATTCGTGTATCTCATCGCGACTCGCACAAATGTGAGATTGCGGCTTTAGATTTATAGAGGCATTGGACGGACGTTTTCGAAACAAAAAATGTACAAACCTAACCATTCCCGCCGCTCCACACACATCTGTCATGTTGTACTATCTATGGTAATCCAGAATTAAAGTTCTATATTTACTTTTATGTATAACGCCATCTAGTACTTTAATGACACTAACATAGGGAAAAGAAACAAACTTTTCCTTTTTTAGTTTGAAAAATCAAATATACGCCATTTAGATCCCAAAAAATTGTTTCATTTCCTATGTATGTACGAAAACTTAAGAACTCAATATTTACACTAACATCATTTATCTTTTCTTTTCAATTCCACTCAATACAGGGTGGGATATATGTAGTCTTTTATATCTACTCTAGGATTTGAAATGACTCATATTGTGTTTTATGCGTATTCCGATGATATTCATAATTGCAATAATTAATGCTACTTTTATACACATACTTACTTTTTTTTCAATTTCATTACATAAAAAACTTAAGCTTTAATGTCACGAAAAACATAATAAAAAGTTGGATTCTCATATAAAACTGATTTATTTGCCATTTTAAATCGGCTGGTATTTTTGTTTTTCTAGTAAAATGCATTGAGTTGATTATGTGGAGCCTATTACTTTGAAAATCATCAATTAGATTTTTCTTTGTGATCGGAACATATTTGTAATATAAATTATTATATTATAGGTAATCTTGATCTGATCAGGAAATCAACATCCGGATAGAACTTGCTCGAGCCTCTTTTAACAACATGAGGAAAGTTCTGTGCCATCAGAAATTGAACATAAATCTTTAAGTCAGATTACTTATAGGCTACATCTGGACTATCGTCATGTATGGCTACGAAACGTGGACCTTAAAAGAAGACACTACAAGACGCTTGCAGGCATTAGAGATGTGGTGATACCGTCGCATGTTGGGCATGGGTTGAACACAAAAGGGCCACGACCGAAACCGTGCTTCTGCGTGTTCATATATCTCGGAAAATGATGCCATCCGGGAGTGGACCGGCCGGCATTGCCTCTGTCGAACCGCTTTTCCGGTTGGCTTCTGATAGAGACAAATACAGGAAGCTGACGGCCAACCTTCAGGATTGAAGAGGCACTCTAAGAAGAAGAGGAAGGTAATCTTATTGTAGCAAACTGAATGATGCAATTTCCCTATTTCTGTATTTCTATTGAAATCTATTTTTTTTTAGAAAAGGTCTATAAATTCCTTTGAACCCCAGCATTTGTATTATTTAATAGTATCAGTTTGTTAATATCACTTCAATTAAAAAAATTAAAAATTTAAAAAAATTCTTCCACTAAGTGGATCTGTTATACTTAGTTGAATTACTTATATTTTGTATATATATATAAATTAAACTAAATATCATACACATTTCATCGGTAATTTTCTTAGAGCATATGTCCTATATGGGAGGCGCTATTATATTATATTTATTTCTCAAACAAAACTTTCTGCCACTTTTTGAGTTGGGGGTAGTACTACAAGCAAACAGGTGCACTAAAATGCAATATTGAATTGTGTCACTATGGTCTCTCACCAACAAAAATCGACAACACTAGCTTATTTTTACAAATACACATATAATTTAATCACGTATATGAAAAATGTAATTCCACTCTTGGTTAGACTGGATGTAGAGGATTTCTTTTTGTAATTTTGTATGTAGTGTAACAGTGGTATTGTTTTATTTGTATTTGCCAGAGGAGATTGCCCATTGATTTACCAATAAATGGATGACAATAAATATAATCCAAAGTTTAATCCAAAAACCGCGAAATATATCCGGAGTTTTTTTTTCAGTTTATGTCTTTTCGCGATCAGAATTACATTCCAAACATAAGCCTATTTTTTACATTAATTATTAATTTTCTATTTTAAGAAATTTTTTTTTCACAATGATCACATTGATTTAATTTATCGATGACGCCTCCAATCCTATATAGAGATGGGTTTTAACCCAATAAATATACAATAAATATCCGTTTTTACTGAGTATTTGTCCTAAAACATGGATAATTATTTTTTGTGTTTTTTATAATAAAATTTATTAGAATTATTTTTTTATCAAATAATAACGTACGATTACTTCTCATTTTGACATTGTTTTAAGCAACAATACTGTTTTAGTACCTACGTTTTTCGAGTCGATAACATCTCACTAACTGCGCGAACATGCTCTTGTAATGTAACGTTCAAAAGCGAGCATTACAGGCGGTGAGGGAGGTGAGCCGAGCATTCGCTGCTTAATATTCGGTAACCTCGTTCACCGGGAGCATTCGCCTGTAATGTAACAATCTGTTCAGATTGTAAGGCTGCGACTCCACCAGATATGGTGGAAATGTTTTCAAGTCTTTACTTAGGTGCCTACGAGTGCCCGCGAGTGCCTTTGAGTGCATTTGAATGCTTTTGAGTGCTATTGAGTACCTTTGAGTGGAAGGCACTCGCGGGCTCTCAAAGTCACGCGCTGGCACTAAAAGGCCACGGGCAAGGTTCGCGGGTACTCAAACGCACTCAGAGGCTCTCAAGGGTATTCAAGACACTCGCGAACACTAAAAAACACTCAAAGGCACTCAAAACACTCAAAGGCACTCGCGGGCACTATATGGCACTCGAAGACACTCAAAAACACTCGCGGGCACTAAAAGGCACTCTAAGTCACTCAAACGCACTCAAAGACACTCAAGACACTTCAACGTCCTCAAAGGTACTCAAAGGCACTCAAAGACACTTAAGACACTTCAATGCCTTCAAAGGTACTCAAAGGCACTCGCGAGCACTTCTGGCTCTCTGGGTCTCAGAGGCCGTCACACGCACGCCTTACTACCTCACACATCTTTGTTGGAATCGCAGCCTAATCGAATCTTGAATGTTACATTACAGGCGAATGTTCTCGGTGAGGGAGCGCCCTTATTCTATATACGAAGCTGAACAAATGTACAAAAACGGACCAACTTAGTAAGTAACTTAGTAAGAAGTAATTTTTTTAACAAACTACGCATTTAAATAATAATAAGGTTCACGGAAAAATACAGGGATTTACGGTATTTAAAAGGATTCCTTTTATCACTGCGTATGGAAAAAAGGTATAACAAGCAGTATACTACACGTACATGCTACTAAATTGTATCAATATTCACGATTAAGCTTAAAAATATACTTTGTTGTACTAACATTAATAATAAACCACGCTTAAAACTATTTATCCACGTTTTTGGATAAATATCGAGTAAAAAAGGGTAAATATTGATATATCCATATTTATCTTTCTACTTAGTATTTCTCCCAATGATATTTATCCATGACACATCTCTAGTCCTATATGCTCTAAGGTAATTTTAAAAGTATTACTGTAGAGGGCGTTACATTGCATTCTATAGTAATCTCAAAAATATATTATTATCTTTAAATGGTCACTCTAGTCTGTTTGCCAATATTTTTCTACTCTATGGTTTTCATTATTTCTAGAAAATTCGGGCACAGACGGATGAATCGGATTGCAGCGGAAACCGGCGTTCGTTTGTGATTGATTTACCAATTGTCATACTAAGACAACGTGTGTCTGCTCGTGTGATTTGTAAAAAGGCGATAATCTTTCGAGTGCAAAATTCCAAATCTTCTAAGGCACCATGGCTGCTATGTCTGTAATAGGTATTGATTTCGGCAATGAATCTTGTTATGTTGCTGTGGCAAAAGCAGGTGGTATCGAGACAATAGCCAATGATTATAGTCTCCGAGGAACTCCGTAAGTATAGAACTCATAATTCTACATATTTAGTTAAATTCAAGATATTCTCAAACATTTGGAATAAGATTGTCACGTTTTTTCTAACCCTATGTTAATTCCAATGACTTATTTGCTTGTCATGTATCACATAAAACCATGCAAGGAAATTTTATTACATTGTTTTCTGTCAAATATAATTAAAATAATATTACCCATTTTTGACAATGTAAAATGCGTTGAAAATATATTTTTTATTGACAATGTAATCCAAAAGTTGTTCAGTCAGTTTTGACTTATCTATTATTTTCTAGAAAGAGTATTGATTGGTGAAGTGTACTGTAATTGCAGTTAATATATGCCAATAAAAATCATGCTCTTCTCTTACTAGTGTACTTTCTCTGACCATAATGTAATCATTTCAGATCATGTGTGGCCTTTTCACAAAAAAATCGAATATTAGGTGTAGCAGCAAAGAACCAAATGGTGACGAACATGAAAAACACTGTGTTTGGCTTCAAGAGGCTCCTTGGGAGGAAATATAATGATCCTCATGTTCAGAAAGAATTGAAACACTTTCCATTCAAAGTGGAGCAGAGAGCTGATGGAGGTATAGGCATAAGAGTCAGCTATCTTGGGGAAGACAATGTCTTTAGCCCTGAGCAGGTAAGGATATCAATATAGAACATCAGTGTAGTTGCTTTGTGTATTGTTATTAATTACCTATCAATTTGATCTAAGCTTCTATCCACCCAAAAATTTAAAAAAATTAGCTTTACAGTTTATGTGATTTTGTGAGTAAATAATTTTTTTGTTGTGACTAGTACCTACTTCTGTCTTTTGATTAAATTATACAAGAGGAAGTAACTGTGCTATTAAACCTTAATTACCTTCCTTATTTTATTGATTACCTAAACCCAGCTTAAAATGTTAACCCAGCTTAAAATGTGAACTAAGAAATTATTGCTTTTTGTTTATCCTTATTACTGATTTTAATGTATCTTCTCTTAGATTTACATTATTCATTATTTTTGTACTTATGGTTAAATTATAATTTATTGTATCCGTTAAGGTTGGCTAAAAGATATTATTATCATCTAGCAATAACATTTTGTGTACTCCTGTCTCTTTTTGTAAATATAGTGTGATGCCTTACTTTCTCAAACTTATTCAGGAGATGGTAATCTATTTATTTTAAATTTCTTATCAAGGGATTTTTTTTCAATTTGTATGCATTACTTTAAGAATAGGTAAAAGCCATTGTGTAAAAATGAAGAAAATGTGATGTGTAATCAGCCTGCTTTGTATATATACAATATTTTTTTTGTATTTCAGTAATTTTATGCTTTAAGATACGAGTTTGAGAAAGTAAGGTGACAAGTGGTCTTACACACAATGAAGAATATTAATAATAGGGGTTAAAGTATGAAATTGCCGATTTGTACTGAA